ACAAAAAAAAAGCGCGCGTGTGGGGGGGGGGGGGGGGGGGGGGGAGCATGGCGGTGCATTGTAGTTAATGACACGAACCTGGAACACAGGCACATTAGTGCCTGTGGTTCTGGTCCAGTGCAATATGCAAAAATGCTGCAATTTTGCAGATTGCACTGGACCGGAATGAAGGCAGGCGATTGCACTGTGGGCGGAGGGCGTGGCTGCGGTGACCTGAACGCAAGGAGTCGGCCGCCTTGCATTCCAGTGCGTTCTAGAGGCACCTGCGTCCTGTCCTCCCACGGTACTCGTGTGGCCGACGTTGCACACGTGGAGAGGCGTCCTGCCCCTTTCCGTCTGTGGCGTTTAACACATTCCAAGAACCCCACAGCAGGAGGACAGAACATCGCGATCTACCAGGGATTGCTTTGCGATCGACAAGGGATAGATCGCGATCGACCTAATGGGCACCCCTGTCCTAGATTGTTCACTTCTCCTGCCTTCTCCAAACGCTTGACCCTTTTTATGAATAACCCTGTAAATGTCATTCAGTTATGACTTACATGTATTTTAAAGGAAAACCAGCCAGTACTACGGTACTAGTGTAAAGACTGCAGCTGTGATAAAATCAGATAGTCCAGATGGTTCACTCAGCACTAGACTGTGTAACTTCCTTTCTATCTGCTTCCTGCATCACCAACTAAATCCACAGGATAAAATTTGATTGGCAGCTGTAAGAGACATTTTTTGACAAAAAAAGACTAAGAAGTAAGCAGTGGATGTATCTGGCAATATTTCTCCTTCATCACAAGCCAGGGTTTTAATGTCACCAGATTGCTGACTAAACTGGCTGGCTCCAGCAATTGATGTACTACAGTACTGGCTGGATGAAAAACTGAGGTGCTGAGAAAGAAGACGGTGCCTTTTTTTTGCACCTCAATGTTTAATTTTCAGTTTTAAAATGAAATGCAAGTAAACAATGAAAGTTATGAGCGTATTAAGGTTGAACCTATTTACACATAAAAACACCATTACAGATACCAGTGGGTCCAGATCTCAAACCATGCTTACATAAACACAAAAACCATATGGACTATGCATTGTACTAGTGAATGCGTTCCAACACAATGATGATAAGATTCAAGGTCCAACATACAGGATGCATCTAGTTTTACCAAAACCTCCCCACACATTTTTATTTGCAGCAACAGAACAAAACATCAGACCCAGCAGGCAAAACATCATTAAGATGAAAATTATTTTGTTTTCTGTTTTGTAAACAATCAACATTTGTTGATTGTTTAGACAGTTTGTTGTAGACAGTACAGGGGACGCTGTAGACAAATTACTTCACTGGTTACGGTTAGAACTTAAAGGAGAACTATGGGGTCAGTGTTTTTCCCCATAGTTCTCCTTAGGGTAACGGGAGGACACAAACTAGCGTCCTCCCGTTACCCTAAGCTCAGTATACCGCGAGCTATACTGAGACGCCGCAGCCGATCACGAGTATTGTCACAGGTCGGCTAGAACTATGAGGTGAGTGAAAAGCACTCACCTCATAGTTCTCCTTTAATGTTTTTCAGTTCTAACATTAGAAGGGCTGCACATGATGTGAAAATTAGCTGATCTCCCCAGAGTAAGGATCCAGTCTCACCAGCAGTGTGCAGTACCTCTCGGGTTGGTGGTGTGCGCTGTTAAAGGAGAACTATGGGGTTCTATCTTTTTTTTATGAATGCATTCCTTAGGCTAAATAAGTAAATAATGTTTAAGCTTTTAAAGTGTCGCCTATGGCCAATTTTGGGTATGGTAGTTTTCTGCGATTTCGCGGGTGCGCGCAATTTTAAAGCTTGACATGTTTGGTGTCTATTTACCCGACGTGACCCCCTCTTTTATATTTTACCAAAAAACTGGTTAATAATAAATGTTTCCTGTAATTTTTTCTAATTATACTGAAAAATGGCCTGGCCAGGAAGGGGGTCTAAACACCTGGTCTTGAAGTGGTTAAAATATAAGTACAAACACATACACTATGTCTGACTATTGCAGGGGCTTCAAGAAAGCCAGATAAAGAAAAGTGCTATTTACTTACTGAAGATAAGACTGCCAGTACACCTTGTTGGCACGAACCTCTGCAGCCTTGGCCGCAATAATATTTGTTGGGACAGCAGCATCAACAGCACCTCGGATGTCCATCTTGTCTCTTTAGCTCCTACAGAAAAATAAGAAATATTAATATGCATTACATGATATACAGGTGAAACTCGAATAATTAGAATATCGTGCAAAGTTCATTTATTTCACTAATGCAACTTAAAAAGGTGAAACTAACATATGAGATAGACTCATTACATGCAAAGCAAGATAATTCAAGCCGTGATTTGTCATAATTGTGATGATTATGGCTTACAGCTCATGAAAACCCCAAGAACCCCAAATCCACAACCTCAAAAAAGTAGAATATTACATGCAAAAAACAAGGATTGTACATAGAACAATATCGGACCTCTGAAAAGTACAAGCATGCATATGTACTCAGTACTTGGTTTGGGCCCCTTTTGCAGCACTTACTGCAATTACTTTTGCACGATATTCTAATTATTCGAGTTTCACCTGTACACTGCAAAACAAAAAAGTGTCCAATGAAAGACCTTTTTTCAGCACCAGGCAGGTTCCTGGAGAAAATGCCCGCATAATGACTTCTTCGCCTCAAAATTCTAACAGTATCCCAAGATGTTAAATAAGATGGTTGGGAAATTTCCAGTTTGTATTAAACATTATTCAGCTAGTTTTGGAGAATGTGCCTTGCATTCCCGTGCGGTCGATCGCATTGGGGCCAGAGGGTATGGCTCCGATGTCATTGAGTTCAATGGACCACCCCCTCCCATCCCACCACAAAGTAAGCCGGTCACAATGCGATCCATTGCATTCCGGCCAGAATCAGGCCGTAACGCACTGTGTCTGGTGTGAATGGGACCATAGTTGTTTAAATTTAAAATCTTCAATTCCTCATTCTCTAGTGGGTACCCACATAGCTCTTCCCTCCACGCCCTGCACGGGTGCTGTGGTGGCACCCGTGTGTGCTTATTTCTGGCTGTGCCTGCAAGTACTATGCCGGTCTTATTCAGACAGAATGGTCTGTGAAGGTGGTATATGGCCAACCAAAGTTTGGCAAACTGTCTCAATACAAGAAAAATTAGGCTTCATTCACACCTATACTCCAGCAGCAGAAATCCCTAGTATGCCATTTAGAAGCAGCCACTGTCACCCATTCAAGTTCACGATCGGATGACAGTGGCAGCCTTTTAAAGCGTACAGGGACAGCGATCTATTCCTAACCGCATGTAATTGTATGTGATAGTGCCAACGGACTGCCGCTTTCAAATGCGGCCGCTGTCACCCGATCATTAACTTGAACAGGTACCAGCGGCCACTTCTAAACGGCAGATTAGTGATTTCTGCCGCAGGCACTCATAGGTTCCGGCTGCAGGAAACCCAAAACGCACCTGAAGTATAGGTTTGAATGAAGCCTTAAAAAGGAGAACTGTGGGGTTAAGGCTTTTCCCCATAGTTCTCCTTAGGGTAACAGGAGGACACAAACTAGTGTCCTCCCGTCATCCTAGGCTCAGTATACCGCAAAATGTAGCTCGTGGTATACTGAGACGACGCAGTATGCAGCGAGCTGCTGCTCGCGGTATACTAAGACGTTGCAGCTGAAGCGGATCCCGACAGCTAGCTCTGCCTATCTAGAGGCAGAGCCAGCTGTACCCGCCCCCTCCCCCGTCCGTTCCGCCAGTCAGCGCTGGCAGATCGGAGAGGGGAGGGGGGAACCCAGCCCCTCCCCTGTCACGGCAGAGAGCCGTGACAGGATCGAGAGGTGAGCGAACGCCGGTATGTGTTCGCTCACCTCCCGATCTACTGAGCCGACCTGTGACAGTCTCATTGTCACAGGTCGGCTAGAACTATGAGGTGAGTGAAAAGCACTCACCTCATAGTTCCCCTTTAATGCAAAAGGTGCACCAAACTACACTTTTCTCTTCATTGTAACATTTGTATTTTGGCTGGCTAATTGTTTCAGGAATTCATAACTTTTTTGGGGCTGCTGCTAAAAAAATTATAATAACATACTTTCTAAAAATTCACAAACACATGAGGTAATTTATTATAAGTTTCTTCTGACTATTAAGATTATTTAAAATGATATAATTTATGACTTCAAAAGATAAATCTGCCAAAAAGCACGATCATTGCCATGGACACATTAAATGGTATATCTTACAAAGTTGTAATATCTGAATGTGACGTGTGGTATACATTATAATAACATTTGCTGTGGCATCTTCCAAATAAAGCAAAGCATTCATACAAGAATCTCCTTTCTTGTGCCCTTCAAGACACAGAAGTCTGATGACACAACAAGACATTTGTTTTCCTCTAAACACGGGTTTGAAAAGCCAAAACCTTTTATCAGATTAATCACGGGCTGCTCTCAGCTACTAGCCTTACCTCTAACAGGTAACAAGCAGGCGGACTCCGGACTGACCCAGAAGATATCTGGGATTGGAAGAAATAACCGTAGAATGAATATGCCCTACGAAAGGAAAAAAAAAATGACCTTGAAGAAAATAAGTTTGCACTACAACATTTAAGGACAGCTGTACTTTTACATGTGCACTCTGTAGTCCACAAGGAATGCCCCTTCTTGTCCTTTGAACTGAAACAAATGATATATGCTACTGAATATGTTTGCAATGCTCACACCAAGGGGGCTTCCAGTGCAGCACATCACACCTGTGAACTCCAAATCTCAGTGATACAAATACAAACTCATGGAATCCTTGCAGACAGGAACATCTATAGAAGGTAACAACATGTCTTTCCAGCACATGCCCAGATTGATGACAGTACTGCTATTATCTACTACAGCTATTGCCATCCGCAAAGAGAACATCTATCAGATCTGGTTCATGGGCTGAAAAGTACATTTATTCAGAACTGAATAACAATGACTTAAGCTGTACACAATGAAGAGAATTTATCAAAACTGGAGCAGACAAAATCTGGAACCCCCATGTTCATTGCAACCAATCAGCTTCTACCTTTCTTTTTCATACAAACTGAAGGTAGAAGCTGATTGGTCGCCATGCACAGCTGCTCCAGATTTTGATGAATTCTCTTCAATGATTAAACATTCTCAGTGTCCGTTCACACCAGCTGCAGCACATTATGGTGTGCATAACTGACACTGGTGTGCGTTGTGCATTGCTCTGCATTATTACAATGCATTGCTTGCTTTTTTTTTTGTTAAAAATGAACTCTGGGCAATTAAAAAAATGAAAGCAGTATATAAAGTATATCTTTTTTTTATTTTAGACCCTAGACCAAAATGAACACTTAACCCTTGCAGGGCAATGGAAGCCCCACCACAAGGGTTATTTTCTTACATGCCCAGAGTTGTTGTGTAACTTTCATCACTCACGTGTATCTCTCTACACAGCAGTACGTGACAACCTGACACACATTGTAACTACCGTGTGCTAGGCTGCATCTTATGCAACTCACACCAATGTGAATGTGAACAAGGAACATAGAGAACAACTGTTTTCTCAGTGTCCTTGCATTGGGCCTGTTTTATTTAACACACCTGGTGTGAACAAGCCCCAATAGCTAAAAGGCCTTGGAGCACATTCGCACATGCATGAATGTGAATGGGCCCATATAGTTTCCCGTTAGGGCCGGTTCACACCATTTTCCGGACCAGGAACGCAGTGCATTGCGTTTTGTCGCATTTTTGCCGTGTTTTTAAGCTTACAATGGGCTTTCAGGTGCGTTCCAGTGTGTTTTTTATGCGTTTCTATGCGTCCCCTTGCATTCCAGACCAGACCAGACAAAATGAGACATGCAGTATTTTTCTGGTCTGGAACGGACTGCGCTGGTGTGAACAGAGGCCAGAAATCGCATAGGGATACATTAGGATGCATTTTGGGTCCGGAAACAATACGGTCTGGTCTGCAGATGATCAGATGTGGTGTGAATGGGCCCTAAAAACAAACTAAACAGCAGCATGCATATGGTAAACGGACACCTAAGAAAAGAAAAAAAAAGGGATTTCTACTTGAAATATATTTGCATACAATAACATTTATTGCAAAGAACATTAGCTGACATAAAGCGATTTTATAAAACCACAAGCAATTGCAACAGTGTGAAAAGGTCTTCAATGTAATAAGCTGGCCAGCTATTCAAGTTTACCAATTATCCCCTAAAAATCCCCTAAAATGACATTTCAGATTTCCTAAACAGGTTCTTTTGTGTATAGTTTATCTACCTTCCAAATATTTGCTGTATATAGTTGACATACACATGATATTTACACATACACGAGAGGTTTGGACTTTAAATTCCTCACTAGTTTAAACTGGAGTTGTGGCAAATTCACTCTCATGGGCTTGGAAACCAATATTTAATATGATTATTAGTCTCTAAAGCCATCTTGCAAAAGAAGGAAGATCATAGCTACTGGTTCCACCACAGCAGACACCACTCTACCATTTCTTGCAGAGCTACGTTGAAGGCTGAAGATTCCAATGTGCAGCATTGTCCTGCAAGAAAGTGAAGTCTGGAGATGCCAGCTGCATAGGTGTGTGCTGCCTATTGCATTAGGGAAGGGCTTGACAAATTTTCTTTGAATCCAGGAGCCAGTTAAAGTTAGAAGCCAGTTTGTTTTTTTCGTGAGGGCGTTTTGTGGTGGATTTTAATTTTCTTTTTTTGGTATTTTTAATTTTGTTTAACTTTTGTAATTTTTTTTTCCCTTATTGGCGATGACAGGTTTCTCTTTAAAAAGTGGCATTCAGGGTCTATTAGACCCCTAGTGTCACCTTTCCACTTCACCAGCTTTAGCTGGGGAATGAAAGCTGTAAACACAGCAGGCAGGAGAAATAGCCAGCCTGCTATTGGCCATTTCAAATTGCAATAGCCAATAACAGGCTGCCTATTGCACCTACCCACTGCCTGCTGACAATCAGCAGAGGAGGGACCTGAAGAAGAAAGTTCTCCTTCAGGTCCTTCAGGCAGGGTTTATTGTGGCTGCAGCGGCGGTGAGAGAAGAGACGGAGGAACAGGCTGGCAAAAGCCAGGCACCAGGACGCAATTTTTAGTCGCATTGGCGACCTGCTGCCTGGGATTTGTCAAGCCCTGCATTAGGGTGTGCATTAATCATTACTCTACACTCAGTATCCCATAATGACAAAGCGAAAACAGAAGTTTAAAAATGTCTGAACTTATTAAAAATAAAAAAATAAAATATCACATGCACTTAAAAGAGAACTATGGGGTAACCTTTTTATCCCATAGTTCTCTTCAGGATCACGGGAGGACATACTATCCTCCTACCGTGACCCAAAGTTCAGTATATAGCGGGACATCGCCTGCTATTTGCCGAGATCGCCTCAGCTGGGACTGATCCCGACAATACTTTTGAGATCCTCCCCGTTGGCTGATTGACAGCTGGCTCTGCCTATCTAGAGGCAGAGCCAGCTGTGCCTGCCCCCTCCCCTGTCTGTTCCTCCAGTCAGTGCTGGAGGATCAGACAGGGGAGGGGGGAATCCCTGCGGGGAGAGGTGACCGACAGTCGCTGCTCTCTGCAGAGAGATGATCGGAAAGTGAGCAATCGGCAGCATGTGTTTGCCAACTCCCCAATCAGCTTTATTGTCACAGGTCGGCTTGAATTATGGGGATGAGTGTTTTTCCATTCACCCCGTAATTCTCCTTTAAGTATTCGGACCCTCTGTAACAAAACACAAGAAATTTAGCTCAGGTGCTTCCCATTTCTCTTGATCGTTGCCGAGATGTTTCTGCACCTTGTTTGGAGTCACCTAACCTGGTTTTGTTATTTTCATTTTTAATCTGCAAATTATTTTTATCTCTTACCTGCTCTACTAATAACGGGTTTTAGCTTGTGACATATTAAACCTGTTTCCAAACAGAAAATAAGAGGAAACCGACACAGACAAATACAAATCTGACACAGGCTTTAACCCTTTCTGGCTCAATCCAAAATAAAACAAAACCTTAGCTAGAGGTTACAAACATATACTAAGTCCGACCCTCTGTTGACTTCCAACGGTGATTTCTTTTTGATTTTGGTGTGAATGCACCTTATTGGTATGATGACGTTTGTCCAGCATTGTTATAGGAAGTAATACATAATACTTCCTTGATCTGCCTGTCCTTCCACAAATACTTATCATGGTTTGGAGGTGGCTATAGAAACACTTCCCAATGAAAGCGGTCTGAGAATAATGGCGCAATTTCAACAGAAACATGGCTCCTGTTAATCAGTCTATGTATTTTATCTCCAAGCCCGAACATAATGAAATGTTCCATCTAGCCTGAGGTTTGATCATTCCAAGCAGAATGGATTTCAATGACCTAATCACAAGCCATACCATGCACACTGCTAACAATGAATCAGTCCATTATACATGACAAGAGATGGCACTGTGCTGTCAGTCAGCTAGAATAACAAAGGGTCATTCTAAAGACGAAAGGACATAAGATGAAATGACAGGAATGACTTCTGTTCCCTACAAAACCACAGAGCCCAACAATATTATACCAACATATGAAAGTTCCTTACAAGAAAAGGAGATCCCCAAAAATACACGATGACATCATCATTAAATGATCTGGCTCTTCACTCCAGCAGCCCCTATTACACTTCCATCACTGTACAGAACCACTTCCACCCAGAGATATCTAATCCTATCAGTACGGTACAGGGGGATGCACAAAAAGTTCTAAAATACTAAAGACGTGGAAACTGGAGAAGAAAGAGATGAAGGGTACAGGAAATGAATCCGACCAATCAGAGTTTAGGACTTAGATTTACAATGTTTCAAGTTTAATTCCTTCTTCTGATAAACAATACAGAGGACTGTACAATGGAAGACACAATGATGAGCCGCACAGAAGACTAGGACATGGGCAGTCAGAGAGGTCACAATCAGCTCCACCATTATATACTCAGCTCCACCATTATGCAGAGAGGCCACCACTGGACTCCACTCCACCATTATGCAGAGAGGCCACCACTGGGCTCCACCATTATGCAGAGAGAGGCCACCACTCGGCTCCCGATTATACGGAGAGGCCACCACTCGGCTCCACCATTATACGGAGAGGCCACCACTCGGCTCCACCATTATACGGAGAGGCCACCACTCGGCTCCACCATTATACGAAGAGGCCACCACTCGGCCCCACCATTATACGGAGAGGCCACCACTCGGCTCCACCATTATACGGAGAGGCCACCACTCAGCTCCACCATTATACGGAGAGGCCACCACTCAGCTCCACCATTATACACTCCTCCATTACATAGCCAGGCCACAATTATACATTATACACTCAGCTCCACCATTATACAGAAAGACCACCACTCAGCTCCTCCATTATACAGAGACACCACCACTCGGCTCCACCATTACATAGGCAGCCCACCATTATACACTCAGCCCCACCATTATACAGAAAAGCCATCATTCAGCTCCACTATTATAAAGCCAGGCCATACTCAGCTCAACCATTATACATCCAGGCCACACTGAGCCATTGCGCAGCGCTTATAACACTCACCGGTCTCAGTCCCCGGAACCATGAAGTGGACAGGCAGCAGCGGTAACGGGATCCCAACACTGCACCGTATGACCTCTCTATGTACACAATACAGCTGACAGGGGAAGCTCAGTCATGTGACGGGAAATCGATCAGGTGACTGTATCCCGGAAGTGAGCGGAGACTGGCTGGTATCAGGTGATGTCCTGTGTGAAGGATGGGCGGAGGGATATTTCTTGTTTGATGAAGATAAAGCTGTTCAGAAGCCTGCGGCTCTCACTGTGTGATGACAGGAGCGAGCACGACGATAGAGGGAATTGTGTGCATGGCTGGCTGTGTGAGGGACACACATTCTGCATGCGTGTCATAGGCAGACATAGTTATAAATGAGAGATAGTTATACCGTAGTAGTATGAAAAGTCTCATGGTTTTCAGCCAGACTTGTAACAAACAATAGCATTGCAGACTGTTAAAGTGCATGTCTGTGCAAAATGCAAATATTCAATTAATCATTGTACTACCTGCACATTTCTGCATAGTTTGTTTTTTATAGGAATATACCTGATCTGGTGGAAATCCAGCGTGCTTCTAACTTCCTGTACTGTGCTGACAACTGCTGCATTCAAATCCTAAGAAGTGTCATCAACCCTTGCAATGGGTGAGCATGTATCTCACTCCCAGCCTGTGACAGAGACATGTGATTAGTGTCCAACAAATTGGTTAGACATTTAGGCTCCATTCTCACATTAGCGCTGTTCTGCGTGTATTTGGGCATACGAATACACGCGTAACTGATCTAAACATAAAAAAATAATGCATTGCAAGGCACATTGTTCAGACTTTTGCAGCAACCGCGCGTCCCGCAAAATAGTGCAAGCAAAATTTTATGTTTGGATTCACCGCTCTGCTGCACTGTGATAGGCGGCCGAGCGGTGTGGGAGGAAAGACACCGGCCGCTCGCAGCGCTCGGCCGGCTGTCATTTTCTCTCTGATTCCTTTCATCCCCGCTGGGCACTGCTCTGTGTCCCAGCGGGGATGAAAGGAATCACGGCCGCGCCGACAAAACGACAGGAAAATGTCACTTTCGGCATTTAGCCGAAAGTGCCATTTTCGGCCAGCGCCCCCCCTTCACTTTTCGCCCGGGGCCCACGCCCCTGCTGCCCCCCCGGTTGTTACGCCACTGCAAACGTGCGAAATACATGCATTTATTAACGTTTGCACGGGTTTCCATGTGGAAAACGCCACTGCTGTGTGTGAATGAAGCCTTACACACGGCTTCCTTTCTGTGGTTCTAGTGGCCAGGAGCAATGAACATTGACTACTTGCTGCTGGCAAGGGGGAGATTTAAAGTAGAACTACAATCAATTTATACAAAAACAAATTGTACGATATTGAAAGTTATGTATGACTGTGTACTTCTGTCTGTCTGTTTCCCTTCATTGATTACAGGTATTGATATAGCGCCAAAAATTTACATACTACACATTCACATCAGTCCCTGCCCTCAAGGAGCTTACAATCTAAGGTCCCTATCCCACATCCATAGTCACAAAGGCCAATTTAGAAGGGAGCCAATTAACCTTCCAGCATGTCTTTGGAGTGTGGGAGGAAACCGGAGTACCTGGAAGGAAACTCATGCAAGCACAGGGAGATCACACAAACTCCTTGCAGATAGTGACCTGGCCGAGATTTCAACCGGGGACCCCCAGTGCTGCAAGACGGAAGTGCTAACCACTGGGCAACTTTTTCCTGCTTGCTGGGTATAATTTCTTTGACTGGGTGATGATGCTAATCCACCACTTTTAAATTCTGGCCAGCGTTGTCACCTTCATGGTGCATAGTTGCCAGGTGTCACACATGTCCAAAATCCAAGGATTTTGGACAATGACCCACAGGCTTTCCTGCAGGATCCAGGACACTTGGCAGAGTGGTAGCAAGGTGCCAAGTTATGGAACAACTGCTTTCCAGCACTGCAGTTGTGACTATCAGGTGGAATTATCTCCTTACCCACAGCACAGTTCAGTCCTGGCAGAGCAGCAGCACAGGAACATGTGTTAAGATCAGCAACCACTGAACACCATTGCTTATTCATGCTGCAGGGATTTGGGGTTCATTTTTCTCATATCAAGACCAATACTTTGGGGTTATTTTACTCCCACTGACACTAATGATTTGAGGATTTGTTGTTTTTTTCCACTGACACCAATGATTTGGGGTTTATTTTCCTTCTACTGACACCAATATGGGGCTTATTTTAGTTCTGACTGAAGTTTGGTTTTCTTCCACAAATGCAAACAAGTTGAGATTTATTTTGCTCCCACTGACAACAATCATTTGGGGTATAGTTTATCCCCACTGACTCTGATGGGGCTTAGATTACCCCCAATTACACCAACGTTGGGTCTTATTTTGCTCCCACTGACACCAACGTTGGGTCTTATTTTGCTCCCACTGACACCAACGTTGGGTCTTATTTTGCTCCCACTGACACCAACGTTGGGGCTTATTTTACCCCCAGTGACACCAACTATGGGGCTTATATTACCCCCAGTGACACCA